AGCAGGAGGTGGAAGGTTCTGATCTGCCCCGAAGAGGACTGGGACTTCACGGCGGGGCGCGGGGCCAGCCGACATGCGTGCGTGTCGGCTCTAACACCCAGGAGGAGAGAAAGTGGCCTTCGCAGCTACCGTTCACCGAGTGCCAGGAGGCGGCAAGCTCCATGCTTAGGATTCCACGTATGGGATCTTACTTAACCCTCACGACAACCCCGGGGGCCGGCACTGTCTTTATGGGCAGAGGAAAACCCCAAAGACGTTAAGTGACCTGTCCACAGTCGCACAACACAAAGGTGCAGAGCTGGGAGCAACCCTTGGTTACGGCTCTATCACCTGATCAGTTGAATCGTTTTTGTTATATTGGTTGCAGCGAAAAAGATTCACTCAACAAATGCTTACTGAGTACCTACTACGTGCCAGGCATCACTCTAGATGGTGGGCTGGTTGGACTGTATTCAAAAAACCTGTTGGTAAGTGAACATCAACCTAAAGTGCATTTGCCTAGGATAATGATGATCCCCACCTAAAATAACAGTGGCAGGGCACAGTTACTGACACAAAGACGTGGGCATAGAGTAAATGAAAAAGAGGGTTACAAAACACATGCGGAAGAGTGTAATTTACGTCAAAATTATACACTACACCCTAGAAACAAAACCAGATGGAAATGTAATAAAATGTTAGCTGTGAGTTCTCAGAGATTATAGATGATTTCTATTTCCTCTTTTTTGTACATCTGGGTTTCCTAAAACACATGTTGTGTGTGTAATAAATAAGTTACCTCAAGAAAGAAAGAAAGGAAAGAAAGAAAGGAAAGAAAGAAAGAAAGGAAAGAAAGAAAGAAAGAAAGAAAGAAAGAAAGAAAGAAAGAAAGAAAGAAAGAAAGAAAGAAAAGGAAGAAAGAAAGAAAGAAACCCTTCCTGGGGACCAGCAACAGCAGGTGTCAGAGGGGTCTGATCTCAGGGCACAAGTGAGGGCCCAGGCCCGCGGCTGAGGACGCGGCTGAGAGGGCACTGTCAGCGGTGGGGCTGAAGTGACACCAGAGCTGAGGGCCTCGAGGCGTCCTGCCGAGGACGGCTTTGCTCAATGCCGGAGCTCCAGGGAGGTGACTCAGAGCAGCTGGCTTGGCGCGCAGGCCAGGCACCGTTCAAGGCAAGAGGGCGTCGGAGGGGCCGTTTCCGCACCGCCGACATCCTCACTGTTAGTGTGAAGTTTTTCTTAAATTACATTGACTCCAAAGACAGGCCATTTATATGTTTGTTACAACAAGGTTTCTTGTTAAATCAGCCCATTAGAACAACTGCTTGACGGAAACAAAGTGTTTTTTTTTTTTAAAGTAGGTAAGTCTCCTTCCGGGCAGAATTATAAAGGGGAAACCAGCTTTATAACTGAAACAGTTTATCAGTCCAACATCTATCATAAATTGTGCATTCTAAATAGTAACTGAATATCTGAAATAAAACACTTTTTCAAATTAAAAAAATGCCTGCTGGATTAGTATACTGGCTACATTAGACAGTCCAGATAGTTCATCAAAATGTTACTATCAATTCCCTATTTGAATCTAATAAGTACTTCATTATGATATGAACCACTATATAATTATTAATATTCATTTGCTATCAATAATACATAAAGTAAATATTACATTGCCATATATTGCTTTTGTTTTTCTGATAGTTTTGTCAGTGCAAGGATTAAGTGTTATTTATTTTGTGGCTTATTACCAGCCAAGTATTATAAAATGTTAAGCATTCTAAGATAAAAGTCTACAATGTCACATGAAAGACTGTCAGATCCAGTGATCATTTCTAAAGGAAATGAGATATAGAAACAAGAAGATTGACATTATTAAAAGTACATAGTTTCTATGAAAGCAAAACGTAACAATTTTTAAATGAATTACATCTTAGAAAATGCGAATGTTGAGATCTCAAAAAAACATTATTATTTTAGGTTCAACAGTAAGACTTGTACAATTTATATGGACTGGCTTTATACTTGCTGTAATTATTGTTACTGAGAAATAGACATATTGATGTGGAATTGTTTTTCTCGTGTGAGAGGGGCCTTTTTCTAATTTTCGCCAAAGCGTCCTGCGTGCTCACAACAGGTCTGCCTGTGGCGAGAGGGAGTCGCGAGCTATGTGGCAGCCGAGCAGTGACTGGTGCTGCCAGGGGCGTGACCGCTTCCGCTGCTGATGGGGACAGGTCCCACGTTCTCCTGCCCCAGCGTCGCCCTCGCGCGCACACCTGTGAGCTTCCTGATTATGCAGGACACACCAGCTCACTGCTTCTTTTTTTTAAAGGTAAGCAGACTTCTGGCAGCCATAGTGTGACGGCCAGGCTCAAGCCAGTCTGTGTTTTGAACCTTTATATGTGACCTAGTTTGTCTCATTTCCCACCCCGCCCCCTCCAAGCCTGGCTTTCAGGACTGGCGCCCTAAGCCCAGTGTCAAGGTGCCTTGGTCCCTTTTTTTCTTTTTCTTTTTTTCCAATTTCACTCCTCACCCCTGACAACCAGCAGCTTGTTTTCCTTGTGGGTCTATTTCTATTTTGTTCTGCTTACTCACTTGTTTTGTTTTTTTAGATTCCACATGTAAGTGAAATCATACAGTATTTGTCTTTCTCTGTCTGATGTACTTCAATGAACACAGACCAGCTCATTCTGATGTGTCATTAACAACCGTGAGAACCATGAGGATTGACAATATTTCATTTCCACCGAAACACTTTTAGATATTGCCAAAATCTAGGTGGAGGCCACAGGCCCGTGTCACTTACGTGGATGCTCTGTGTGTGTGTCCGACTAGGGAAGAGACTAACAGGCTCACCTGACCAGCGGGGGAGACGAAGGGCCGGAGCCTGGATGCCCGCCCCACACAGGTCTCACCGTGTAGCAGTGGCCGCCATGGTGACGCCCGTTTCCCGAGTGCCACGTGCCGTGCCGGGGGTGTTCCCACCATTTCTCATAAACTTAAGAGATTCCAGGGCATTAGATACGCAATCCCAATTCACAGAGGGGAGAACTGGGGCTCCGAGAAGTTAAGTGGCAGAACTGGTTTGGAAACCGAGACCTTTCTTTTACTCCAGAGCCTGCGCCCTCGCCGGGGTGTCTTGCTAAGTCCGGGGTGCTTGGCCTACACTGACCAAAAAAGGACGTCCTTTTAAAGTGTACGACAGCATCCCAGAGCCGTGGGCACACACTCGTTTGCCCAGGGGAGCCGGTCAGCGAGCCCCCGCTCGGAGGTGCCCTGGAGCAGGCCACTCACAGGGGACGGAGAGCAAGGATGGCGGAAAGGGGCCCGGCGGCGACTGAGCCACCAACCTGCCCTTCGCTTTATTGCTTCTTTGCTGCTGCCTCTTCTTGTCTGAGTCACCTCCTCTGGACCCCTGAAGGTGTCTGTCCGTCCCGGCCATGACGTAAGAGGAGGCAGGGACTTTCCCTCTGACCCTCTTTAGGTGTGGGCCGCTCAGCCAGTTCAGCGCTATGCTGGCCTCTACTAGTCTCATGGGACAAAGAATTTATTTTTAAACGGACGTGTTCCATTGCTTAAATTATTTTGAGAAAATGATTCGTAAATTTACTCAGGCCCTCATTTCCAAATCAAAATTTCCTACGGTGGCATTTATAAAAAAAGGAGAAATCCCTCTGTAAATATCTTTTATGGAAATATTTACGCAGCACATTTACCAAAGTCTTAGGATTTAAAAGATAAAACAGATCTGGAGTTTGCACAATGCAGATTCCTTTTGGAAATTCTTAATAAAAGGCAGATGTGCAGAGCAGGGGCCAAGCTGTTAAGAGCTGCCAAGACCTAGGCATCTCAGGTCAGCTGGCTAGCCCACTCTGAATTTGGAGGCGCCCAAAGGCCGCACTGCGTACCCCCTGTACTCACTGTACTCACACGCTGTTGCCATTGTGACCAATTGGCCTTAGTTCCAGGGTATTATCACCCAATTAGCATAATCTTCTGATAAGAAGCACGAATAATCTAAGTGAGAAGACAGAACCCAAGCCAGTGGTTTTGAGACATTAATCGACTGGGGACTTGACCTGCTATAGATGGGAGAAGTGCTTGCTTCTTTTCTACAAAAGATGATCTTTTAGGAATAAAATTGAAAACGCACTTAAGCTTCCTTTACAGGACTGGAACATGACGGATTTACAAACTTGGAAATTTTACAGCCTGTGGGTTGGAGCTGATTGCTTGATGACTAAGCCTTTTCCTTACATGAACATTTGGGGGAGGAAAAAAAAAAAGAATTTAGCCTGTGAAGCTGAAATTCCTCCTTAAGCCTTGCTCAATAGAGAGAATAAGATTAAAGCACAGTGATTAAAAACACAGAATAAAGTACATTAGGAATAACATACACTGAGAAACTGGTCTCGTACGCACAACACATTCTTAAACGTAAAAAGCAATTAAAATGCCAAAAATTAGCTTTCACTCATAAAGTGGTTCTTATTAGTTTCATAGATATCTGTCGTAATCCATCACACACTAACTTCAAAGAAAACATCTAAAATTAGGAGTGAGTGCATTTCATGAATCCAGGGATAAAATGGCTCCTACTTCTCGCATTAGCTCAGTGTTAAAAATAGTTTCCGACAAATCATAAAAGCACAACTTTACACCTGCTCTGTCTGAGGAAATACTGCTGACGAACTTAAACGACCCACTAACATTAACTTTTGAATGGCGGCAGGGTGCGCTGAAAACACCGCGGGCCCCTCTGTGGGGGCTCAGAGCAGCCCCCCCCCGACCCCGCAGCGCCGGCGGAGGCCCGGCCGCCCGCGGGCGCTGCTCCCGGCTGCGAGAGTGTGCTGGGGGCTCGCGCGCCAACGCTCTCGCTGGACAGCAAGCACCCCAGCCGGGGCCCCGGCGGCCCCCCGAGCCCCGAGCCTGTGTGCGTGCGAGGGACCTTGGGCTCCTCTCTGGGGGACAAAGCGCCTGGCCAGCGGGGACTGCGGAGGCGGGGCCTGCGGATGCAGGGCCTGTACCTTTCGCTGTTCTTTTTGCCACTAGAAGAGCTGCTGGTGGAGCCCGTGCGGTTCCGGTTGCCTTTGGAATCCCCGTAGCTTTCCCTGCGGCCGCCAGGAGACACGCGTTCAGAAGAGCTGGTCCGCTTGATGGTGCTGAAGTGAGAGGTAAATGACGAGATCCTTAACAGAGTGATTTTATTTTATGCTGAGCATAAAAACATATACACAGAGCATCATGTTTCCACGTTCATGTTTAAAAGACAGATTGGCCCTGGCTGGGGTGGCTCAGTGGGTTAGGTGCTGGCCCAGGAACCGAGAGGTTGCAGGTTCGATTCCCGGTCAGGGCACATGCCTGGGCTGCGGGCCAGGTCCCCAACAGGGAGCATGCGGGAGGCAATTGCACATCGATGTTTCTCTCCCTCTCTTTCTCCCTCCCTTCCCCTCTCTCTGAAAGCAAATAAAAAAAAAATCTTTAAAAGACAGATTGTTTCTCAAGTCCTAACTACAGAGATCAAAAAACTTTCCAGAATGTCACTTGGACTCAATGCTTCTCCCAATGCTCTTGTAACGACAGCAGCTGGCACAATTCAAAGTCACAGAGGAAACGGGAAGGTAAGAACCCCACGACCCTGTGAGAGAACCCTGGGGCTTAGCGGGGCGTGACCCTGCCCTGAGCCGGCATTAGCTCGGGCCAGCGGTGCTCCACCAGGGGTGACTGCCCCAGGGGACACGTGGCAACGTCTGGAGACATTTTTGGTTGTCACAGCTGGGGGAGAAGGCTACTCCTGGCACCTGGTGGATAGAGGCCAGGGACGCTGCTCCACCCCTGCCGATGCCCAGGGCGGCCACGGGGAAGGACGCAGTCCCGAGTGCCAGTGGTGCTGATGCTGAAGAACTGCGGCCTGAAGGCGCACACGGGGCAGACGCAGTGGGACGCCACAGGTGGTGACGAGGCCTCCCAGGCTGGGGGCGGCGCCCGTGGCAGCGCTCGGCGTCCTTCTGTGAGGCTGGAGGCTGGAGCCGAGGCCGGGCAACTGGACATCAGGGGACAAGTGGGAAAAGGGGGACTGAGCCAGGGGTGAGACACGCGGGGCTGAATGACTGGAGCCGTTCGCCGCCAGCCAGGAAATCGCAGGGCCTTATCTCCCCCGACCAAGGACACTGGAGAGCAAGTGGTTCACACCTCGCTTCTCTGACCGGTGAGGAAAGAGCTGGTCAGAGACAGATAACAGACACCCACTTAGTGCCAGCCAAACCCAAGGGCGGAGAAAGTCAAGGCAATAAATGATTACAAAAACACCAATTAAAACCCCAAATCCAAGACGGAGGTAAAGCCGACCAGTGAATGACCCTGGTACATCAGCACACCAGAGAACACACCTGGAGAGCTGGGGAACCTTCTGCGGAGACCCGCCCTGGGGCCTGCCCAGGACTCCGGCCTTTAGAAAGCAGCTGAGCGCCCTTCGAAGGGGCTGAGCCAGCAGCACACCCACGCCTTCCCCTCCCCTTCCTCCTCGGGCATGAACTGTCTTTTTCCTAAACTCTAGGGTCCCCACGAGATCTGCAGCCGAGGGGCAGCAGCCCGTCCCAGGCCCCTTTCCTCCGAGGTTCACCCCACCTTAGCCCGCATCTGAACTGTGACTCCTCCTTCTTGAGTCCACGCAGCCGGTGGCTCCCTTCCTTCCTCTGGTGTTTCCGGGGGGCCAGCACAGCCCTGCCTAGCCTCTCCCCCGTTGCTTCTGTCCTAAGTCCTTCCTTTGTGTCCCTGTCTCCAGCTTTGAAAAACATACTCTCAAAACGTCCCGGACTCGCGCTGTGAAATCGTCCCTACACGGAGTGGAGAACGCACACACTGCGGGCTGGCCCAAGGCGGACCCGCCCTGGCTGTCCCTTCCCGGTGAGGGGTAAGGAGTGGGGAAAGGAGCGGGGTAAGGAGTGGCTGGAAGCCGGGGAACGTCTGGGAAGTCGCCCTGAAGGCTGACGTTCTGGGAGAGACAAGAGGCTGGAACGTGCAGTAGCTACACAGAGGGGAAGCGCCCGACGTGGAGGGAAGGCACAGCGCCCGGCGGGGAGGGCACGGGCACCCTGTCCTGCTCCTGGAGCTCGTCACTGGATCAGCAGTGGCCCTGCAAAGTTTTAAAATTTTCGTGATCCGCCACACGTTTCTTGAGATCTTATCTCGTGTATCATTCCTGTGCACTGTGTGGTATAGAAGCTTGGTAAATATCTACTAAATGAAGGGACACAAGGTGCTCTAACTTAGCACTCGCTCTAGAAGGAAGACGGGAGCGGGGCTGGGAGCCGGGCAGGGTCAGGGCCGGGGCTGCAGGAAGAGGCCCGGACCTGGGCAGGGGCCTCGTCTGGCGCATGTGGGGGGGTGTCGGGGGCGATAACCCTGCAGGCCTGCGCCCAGGCGGTGGCCAAGCAGGAACCGTCCGGCTGGCGGTCACTGAACCACAGACGTGGAGGAAATCACCACGTGAGGATGGGACTCTGCCCCAGGAGTGGGAGGAGGCAGAGAAACCCAGAGGGACAGGGAGGGAGGGACAAGGAGAGCGGCAGGCGGCAGGGACGGAGGAAGTGCGGCGGGACAGTCAGGGTGCTGGGGCTGTGGGGCGGGAGGAGGGAGGGTGGGGCTCCTGCGGAGGGGAGGGGACGGCAGGGCCTCTCTTCCAGCTGGGATCAGCATGGGCGTGCCTTAAGGTCGAAATGTGAATTTTTAGAACGGTCAATTTGGGGACGAGGAAATTACAGATCTTAGGAGAGCATGCCATTTCTGAGATTTGGGACTGATGTCTTAAAATTATAGAAACCTTTGTGCTTAAAGTTCAGGATCTTCCAACGACGAAAAACACCAAGCTAACGCGACGTAGAGGGGTCTTTCTGTCCCGATTACTCGAGGCCCTGAGGCCCCAGTCGCCGGGCAGCCCACAGGGTCCTTGTGGGAGTTCACAGCAAGTTCACAGCAACTGAAAGGCTGGGAGGGGCTGGAGGGAGGCTGACAAGGGCAGAAGGGGGTAAACTGGCGATGGAAGGAGACTTCGCGAACACACAATTCAATATGCAGATGACGCATTACAGAATTGTACACCTGAAACCTAATAATTTTATTAACCAATGTCTCCTCCATAAATTCCATAAATACTAAAAACCAACCAACAGAGTCCTGGAGTATTTTAGGTCACTGGTCAAGTTAATGGCGGAGTCCCATACCCCTGAACAGCAGGTCCTTCAATTGCTCGACCTTGTTGTTCGGCGGACTGCGCCTTTAAGAGGCAGAGGAAGGAGCTGCCTTCTCACAAGCTGGAGGCGTTATTGATTTGCTGAGGGACCTTAGACAAGTTCCTGAAACTCGAGCCTCGGCTTTCTCATCCGAACACTGCAATGAAAAAATTCAACCTCGCAGTTGGATGAAATGACCTGAAAGATGCCAGGAAAATAGAAGTCCGTTCGGCAAGTAGGAGTTCCCTGTTCCAGCTCGCGGTCCCTGTCACAGATGGATTCTCTTTAGTTGCAAAGTGGAGGCAGTGGGGATGGATAGCCCCGAAGGCCCCTCCCAGCTCAAATACTCGGTCACACAGAAGGTGCTGGGAAAAAACAGACTTGTGTAAAGCACCCTTAAAGAGCTGAAACCCAATTCCCAGGTAATTAATACTCAGCCCGGTGCCTGGGAGGGTTCATAGGGAGTATTAGTGATGGAAACCACAGCGGCAGCCACAAGGGGAGCGTCTTAAGGGCTTTGCATTTGACATTTGTCACTTAACCTAAACTCACAAGTCCCCTGTAAAAGTATCATCACCCCATTTCACAGACAAGGAAACAAACTCAGGCAGAAAGCCACTTGTTGGGGGGCCCTTGCCCTCTCTCCTGGGCCCCCTAGCGAGGCCCACCTGCAATTCACACGAGACACCGCAGCACCCGAATCTGAGGACCTGTTGAACATCTAAAAATCCCACCAACGGCAATAATTAGTACAGTTGCATGGCCTGAGACTTGATGGATGCGAGGCAAGGGGTCAGATCTCTAAGTGGAGTGTAAAAGGGGCGGGGAGGCTCCCGAGGTGGAGGCAGCCAGGCTCACGGAGGAGCGCCGAGTGCCCTCGCCTGGCTGTGCTGCTGCTCGGTCTGCACAGACCTGCTCGATCTACGCGCGAGCCGCACAGAAGCAAAGCAGAAGAGGCAGGAGTGCGATCCTGCTCTCCTAGCTGGGACTTGCCCCCACAGCCACACGCGCAAGTGCCAACACTTCGTGGTCTGCGCAGACAGACGTGCGTGTAATCCATCGAAGCTCTTTCAAGGTGCCTGTTGTTCACACATTTGCATTGAAAGCCAGAAAATAAAGCTTGAAGATGAGGCAGGGGTGACCAGAGGGAGTGATACTGCACACGCCCCACAGGGAGCCCGAGACCACCGGCCGGACCATCGCAGACCCTGTGTCCCCTCGGATGGCCGGGGGAAAGAATGCGCTTTATTTCGGAAGCCGTAGGGGTCCTGGCTTGTGAGGGAGGCTGCGCGATCACACAGACGTCCTTTTAGTGCTTAAGGCAAGCAAAGGATTTTTGGTGTGGAAATGCCTGATACCAGCACTTCTTCTTCTTCCTTCTGCTCTCTGCTACCCTCCTGAACCAAAAACCTAAGTTTTGAACATGTCACAATTCTTTCCATTTTACACTTTGACATGCATTCAGCAGGTTTTGACAATGTAAACTAAATTTTAGACAGAATGAAATTTCTGCCGGGGAAATTGGTGACCAGAAAAAAGCGGCAGTCTTTTTTCTTCGGGTTTGATAACTCTAAGCGTCATAAGCTATAATCGGGTCTTTCTTTTGTATGTGACTTGGGACCAAGAACTGGTTTTCTAAAATTTTGCAAAATGATTCCAATTGCTTTACAGTAGAAAAAACAGAAATCTGACAGGTAGCTATCATGTGTGATGAGAGATTTTCTGACGATGTCATGGCAGCCGGGGTGACTAACACTAGATTAAAACAATTATCCACTCAACAAATACTTCCCAGGCATCGACTATACACTGGGCACTGTGATGGGCACTGGGGAGTCCCCACGGGACCAGGACTCACTCGGCCTTTGTCCTACAAGGTGCACGCTAAATCTGACGGACCGAGAGTGCGCGCTTCAGGAATTAAGAAATGCTCTTCTTTTTTCACTGTCGAAAGACGTACCATTGTGGCAAAAAGCAAGTGATTTCCTAAGAAGGCTGGTGGTCTTAGAGAATCTGACGGACCCAAAGAAGCTGTTTTTCCTGCCAAGTGAGGCCACCTCCCTGAGCGCAGCGAGGAGCCGGCCCCTCCTGACTCAGGGGTAGGTGCCCGCGCCGCATCCTCTGTCCGCAATGGAGCATGTCCATCTCTGCTCTGCTGCTGGTAACAGGCGCAAAGCACGAATTTAACACCTACGTTTCAATGGATCTCAGTGATGAAAATATTAGACGTAATCATTTCTTAAAAACTAACAGCAGATTTTGTTGTTCTATTCTTTAAACCGCGAACGATACATATCTGGCTTCGGTGCATCTACAAAAGCTGCGACTCTAACAAGGGCAACCGTTTTTTCCAAAGGACTGTGGGCTGCCTGTCGGGGAGCAGGAGTTGTTGGCCATCCTGTCTCACACTCCGAGCAGAGCGAGTTCAAAATAATGCTCTCTCTCTGTGCCAGTTTTGTCGTCTTGATCTCTCTTCTTTCACACAGCTCTGTCCCATTGTAAAACGCCACTCGGGGAGGGAAAGAATGAGCGACAGTCTCCGCGTGGAACCCGGGGGTGCTGTTCTATTGTCAGGGCAGCACTCCCACCGAGCAAGGTGCGACCTACACAGTCCTCCCGGGCCCTCCGCCTCTTTTCCTTTGACTAATGGAAACAAAGCTTCTCCCGAGGAGTCCACATCCAGCCCCAGATCGAAGTCTTAATTGGCAACACAAAGCACAACCACCAGGCCCTGGACAATCTCCAAAGGGGATTTTGTTCTTAAGCACCGGGCTGAAAAGCCCCAGAGAAAAGAAAACAAACACATACCCATCCGCTCGCCACAGATGCTCCAGCTCCGTTAATTTGGAACTCTGATTACAGAAAAATGTCTACATAGTTGTAAACATATTGGAAGTGCTGGGAAGTTGTCTGAATCCCAATATTTATGATGCCCGGTTGCTTTCTGTTTTCAAAATTCTCTCCTAACAAGAGATCTATAGGAACTTTACAAACACAGAATAACAATCAGATGCTACTGTTTGGGTTTATAACTTCCATATGGACGGGAACACACATCCATGGAAGCCCATGAAAGCCAGAGGGGGAAAAAAATAAATGAGTCACTGCATTCTACAATAGAAACCAAGACTCTTGGACACTCAATCTAGAATCAATGTATTTATAAGTGGCAGCTAGGTAATAACTTCCCATATTGTTACTTTTTTTTGCTTTGAAAAAAATTATTTATATAAATTCCAAATATAGAAAGAGGTATGAATTATAAAATTCTATTTTCTTCAGGAAAAAAGGAAATCTCATTTGTTTTTCACTATCTACTACTTTAAAAAGTCCATCTTAAAATTAAATAACTCGCTCTTAGCCAATAGGTCAAAGAAGAAATTATTAGAGAATTTAGAAGACATGTCCTGACGTGCGTGTCTGAGTGTCTCATGCAAAGCAAAAGGTCGCCAGTTCAACTCCCAGTCAGGGCATATGCCTGAATTGCTCATTCGGTCCCCAGTTGGGGTGCGTATGAGAGGCAACCAATCGATGTTCCTCTCTCACATTGATGTTTACCTCCCACTCTTTCTCCCTCCCTTCCCCTCTCTCTAAAAGTGAATAAATAAAATCTTAGGGGGAAAGAAGAGAATTTACAAAACACCTGGAGACAAATGAAAATGAAAACAAAACATACTAAAACTCAGGGAGTATGAAGAAAGCAGTACTAAGAAGGAAGCTTAAAGCCATAAACACCTACATTAAAAAGAAAAAAAGATCTCAAATCAACAACCTAACTTTATACTTCATGGAACTATAAAAAGAAAAAAACAAACTAAGCCAAAAGTTTGCAGAAGCAGGGAGATAATAAAGAGTACAGCAGAGCTAAATAAAATAGAAAACAAAAAAAAAATTTAAAAATCAGTGAAACCAAGAATTTTTTTTTAAGTTCAACAAAACTGACAAGTCCTCCACTAGACTAAGAAGAAAAGAGCAAAGACTCAATTATAATTAGAAACGGAAGAGAAGAGATCACAATGGATGTCACAGAAATAAAAAGGATTTTAAGAGACTTCCAAGAACAAATATATGTCAACAAACCAATAGCCTAGAGGAATGGATAAAATCCTCGATACATACAACCTACCAAGATTGATTCATAAACAAAAACTCTGACCATATCAATAGTTGGAAGGAAACAGAGCAGTCATCAAAAAATCTCCCAACAACAACAACAAAAATCCCAGGATCAGATGGTATCCCTGGAGAATTCTATCAAACATTTAGAGAGGAATTAATACCAGTCCTCTTCAAACTCTTCCAAAGAATTGAAGGAGGGGAACGCTTGCCATCTTATTCTATGGGGCCAGCATTACTGATACCAAAACCAGACGAAGACACAGGAAAAACTACACAGACTGATGTCCTCGATGAACACTGATGCAAAAATCCTCAACAAAGTAAGATCAAACTGAATGGAACAGCACATTAACATAATTATAACACCATGACCAAGTGGGATTCACACTTGGAATGCAAGGACGGTTCGCCATAATGAAAATCAATGGACGTAACACACATTAACAGAATGGAAAATCGATCCGTGTAATACGTCACATTAACAGAATGAACAAATACCAAATGTTTGTCTTGACTGATGCACGATGCAGAAAAAGCACTTGACAAAATTCAACATCTTCTCATGTTAAAAATACTCAACAAGCTGGAAATAGAAGGAAACTACCATAACGTAATAAAAAGCCATATGTGAGTGGCCCGCAGCTAACATCCTGCTCGATGGCGAAAGACTAAAAGGCCTTCCTCTGAGAACAGGGACGAAGCGAGGATGCCCACCCTCACCACCACTATTCAACACAGGACTGGAGGTCCTACTGTGCAACTCGACACAAAAAAGAAATCAAAGGCATCCAAATTAGAGAGGAAGAAGGAAAGCTGTCTCTGTTGGCAGATGACATAACCTTATGTGTAAAAAACACTAGAGTCCCACACACACAAAATTTAAAACTAATAAACAATTTTAGCAAAGTTGCAGATATAAAAACCAACACACAAAAATCAGTTGCATTTCTATAAAGTAACAACTCCAAAAGGAAATTAAGAAACTGTGGAAACACACCAAATGTTGACAAGCTTTAACACAGATGAGAGACTGCAAAGTGTCACCTAAGAAAAGGACGCTTATTTTAACCCCCGAGACGGCTGTGCCTTTGGAGCGCCGCGGACGCTCTTCGTGCCCACCTTTTGGTTGACGCCGGCACAGCAGCTTCTTTCCTGGTCCCGGAAGGGGATGGCAGAGAGCCGCTGGGTTTCTTTGGTAACACAGTGCCATTGTTGACGGTAGTTCTCAGTGGCAGGGCCTGCACCAGCGGTCTTGCTGTAAGACAAGCAGAAAAGGACATCAGAACTGGCCCCTTGTCAAGGTAACTCTTGAAGACACGCAGGAAGAAATCGGTTTCTACCAATGCCGGCAAAATGGACAAAGGTGCCAAGACAATTCAATGGTGATTTCTAACAAGTGGTGTGGGAACATCAATCCTAGACACTCGCCGCACCGCTTACGAAGAAATTAACTGGAAATGGACCACAGACCTCAGTGTAAAATGCAAAACGTACATAAAGCTTCTCGATGAACGCACAGGAGAAAGCTGTGTGACCTTGGGTTTGGGGATAACTTTTTAGATACAACACCAAAAGCACAATCCCTGAAAGGAAACATTGATAGCTTGGATTTCATTAACATGATAAACACTTCTGCTCTGTGAAAGACATTGTTAAGGGGATGAAAAGACAAGTGATAGGAAAAAATATTTGCAAATCACATAGCTCATAAAGGATTTGTATAAAGAATATTTTTTAAAAACTCTAGACACTCAGCAGTAAGAAAACAAACAGCTCAATTAAAAAAAAAAAAAGGAGGCAAAAGATCTGGACAGACCCCTCACCAAAGAAGATACACAGATGGCAAATGAGCATATGAAAAGATGTTCAGCATCTTTTGTCACTAGGGACATGCAAATTAAAACAATAATGAGATATCTCTATACACCTATTAGGATGGCTCAAGTCCAAAAGACGGACAAAATACCAATTTCTGGCCAGGATGTGGTACAACAGGAACTCATTCATTGCTGGTGGGAATGGAAACTTATACAGTCACTTTGGAAGAGAGTTGGGCAGTTGCTAACTATAGCCTTACCCTACAATCCAGCAATTGAGTGACCCTGGGTATTTATCCACTGATTGGAAAACTTACATCTATATAAAACCTGCACGTCATATTTACAGCAGCTTTATTCATAACTGTCAACAACTGGAAGCAACCAAGATGTCCTTCAATCGGTGAGCGAATAAAAAAACTCTGGTATAGTCACACAATGGAATATGATTCAGCAAAAAAGCAAATGAAACAATTCACATGACAACCTGGGTGAGTCTGTATCCATTTTGCTAAGTGACGGGAACCAGTCTGAAAGGCTGCACACCGTACAATGCCATCGATGTGACATCTATAACAGGCAAAACTACACAGACGAAAACCAGATCATGGTTTCCAGGGGTTGGTGGTGAGGGCAGGAGGCAGAGGGGTTGACTAGGCAAAGCACACAGTTTTTTAGGGGGGCACAGCCCCTCCGGACACTACTGCAGTTGCAGAATGTGACACTATGCATTTGTCAGAGCCTATAAACTCTTACCGCACAGAGCGTGACCATGAATGGACGCAAGTAAAAATCAGTTAGGAGCTGGGGGAACCCCATGATGGAGTGCAGATTGTGGCAAAAGAATCTGACTTACTACAAACACATGTTATAGCCTCATGGATGGCGGTGGAGAGGAAAGGCACTCTGGAAAGTAACTTTGGAAATGAACAGAGATCGTAACGTTACAGAGGGAACTGCACTGAGAGCTGTACTCTGGTTAGTCAAGGCGTTTGCCATGCGGGCATGGCGAGCAATTCCGCAACTACGACATGCGAACGCTGGAACTGAACGTGAAGGATGGGTGGAGCCAGGCTCCTCGCTGCTGGAGAGGCTGTACCTTAGACTGATAATCTAAGATGAAGAAACCCTTTTTAACTTATGTTTACAACTCAGTGTGCAATATTTGATCAGTAAAACTTTCCATTAGGCCTATGTAGGTGATTGTGTGTGAAATCTACAGCTTAATTTTAGCATAGCTGACCATTTACGGACCTACAATTCCTACTTATCTTTTTCAAAATTTACAGTAGGTCTACATTTGGAATTAGAGCAGACAACCTGCTTTGGCTGAATTGTAGGACCAGGCAGATAACTGAGAAAGCGCTGGGGGAGATGCCGGTCACCAACACTCAGCAAAATTACAGGTGCATTTAGCCCTTGGACCAGAAACCCCACTTCCAGGTACTGATCCTAAAGCTATTCTGGCAAAAATGCAACATGTGCCCTGACCAGTGTTTGCTCGGTTGGCTGGGTGTTGTCCCACAAACCGAAAGGTCACCGGTTGGATTCCCAGTCAGGGCCTGTATGAGAGGCAACCCATTGATGTTTTTCTCTCACATTGATATTTCTCTCTCTCCCTCCCTTAGCCTCTTTCTAAAATGAAAGATAAAAACTAAAATGTAAAAAAAAAATCATAATGGGGTGAGGGGAAGTGAATGGGGGCGACGAGGAACAACAAATAAAACAAAACCGACCACATGCTGATGAGCACTGAAGCCAGACAAAAAATAAGAGGTATTTTTCTTTCTACTTTTTTATACAATGGAACATTTTCATAATACAAAGTTTAAAAACAATCTTCCTTAGTCTTGAAAAACTGAATATACCTACTAAACCTTTTCTATAAATCACTAAGGAATTCCTATATAAACTGCAGAGGGCAATTAATGAGAAAAATGGAAGAAACTATAGTGTGTTCTGCCCAAAAGAAGGCAGAAGTTACTTCTGTAATTAATTGATGTGTGAGGAGGGAGATAAGGAGAAAGCACAGTGAACAAGAGAGGGGAAAATTCTGCACTCTAATTGTGGTTCACCAGGATAAAGTACCAAGTTAATTTATTCATTAATTTAACCCACTGCAAAGAGCTTAAAAATTTTTTAAATTTGCTACTTGTATCTATCTAATAAAATCTGTGAGGGGACCATAGCATAATATTTCACATAATTATGTGCTGAAGATGATCTATTGTAATTTGCAAATCAAATCAAACCTTGAGAAAAGAACTCTCATTTCTTGTTGTCTGGTTATTCATTTCTTAAATATTTGGCTGCATTTGACTAATACTAATTTACATAATATTGCTCAGAGGAGCACCTGGCAAAGCGCATGAAGGCGGAAGGCACCCATCCCTGTGGGCAGCAAGGCCTGGGGTCCATGCCCAGATTTCCCCCGCAGTGGGGTGACCGGGGCACCTGGTTCAGCCTCCTTGGGGCAGCTTCCTCATCTGTAAAATGGGCACAATGATACCCCCCACAAAGGGGAGGGGAGGGGAGCTAACATCCAAAACCCCTCCTGCGAAGCCAAGCACTTAGCCCACTAATAACCGGCAGCGATGCTGTCATTTTAAATATTGGGGTTAGGTGTCAGCGTAGCAGAGGCTACATTCTCAAAGATGACCCTTAGCTGCTTTCAGCAGCAGTCTCCACGGCTGAATTCGAAGACCAGGTTTCCACACCCTGGGACGGCAGGATTGACTGGCTCACCAGCATTGCCAGCAAAGGCTTTTGGTGGCATTTCCAAAGTCTCTGATCATTAATGGGACTATTAATTTAAAAAAAGGTTTGCAAACATACATTAAAGTTTTACAAAAGGTGACCTGTCAAATTGTGGCAAAATTAAAATGAGAAGCCGGAACTTCTTACTGGTTAACGCCCCACAAAACAGACAACCCAGACGCACGGACAACAACTCTATTTTGACCTGTGTTTTGCATTTAAAATCCCGTGACGCTCTCCTGGCACTGCCATGGAAATCAGTGGTGCGCGCGCACAATGGGTCTACTATCCCCTGCGCCCCACTCCACCCCACGACTCCTGTCTTCCTGTGCGCCGGGGAGCCGGCTCCGGCTTCGGATGCTTGCTGTGAGCCCTGCGGTGGGGCTCCGGGCGGGAAGGTCGGATTCGGTGGGAAGAACAGAGCCATTTTTAACACAAAAATTTCCCTTGCCCATTAAGGACTATACACCAAAGGACTTTTAGAAGGCAGCTAGAAGTATAAAAAAAGAAAAACATCATAATCCTACCGCTAAGGGGAAAAAAACAATAAATGTTGGTATAGCTCTTTCAAATGTTTGCACAGATTGTGTCTATTTAGTTGAAATTATACAGTATATGCAGTTTTATATCTTGCTTTTAGCTCCTAATATAACGCATAATACATAAGCATCTTCCCTGTTGCTACCAGTCACAGACACTTTTAAAGATCACGCAGCCTCCGGTCAGGGAGGGCCAGGTTTTCTGGCCCTGCGCTGGCGCTTGCTTCCCTCTGCCGATCCCCACCCAGTTCTTCCCCACTGTGCTTAGTGCCACAGTGACCGCCTTCATTCACCGAGTATTTCCCGTATTTACACACACCAGCAACGTATAAAGGGGTCTGCTCGCTTCATTCCACGGGTGGTGAGTACTGCCCCCACCCCAACCACCACACTGAAAAAGCCTGCATATTAGCAAGAGTTTTAGAATATCTGCCCCATAAGCAATGTGATTCTCTTTCCCTGCTATATGGTCACCCAAGCGCAGCAGATCTTCCCATCTGCATGAACACCCAACATGACAAAGTTAACTTTGTGGGCTGACGTGCTCCACAGTGAAGATGTGTGAAAGGGCAACCAGTTCTTAATAGTCATTAAAAAACCAAACAAAACAAAAGGAAAAGAATAGTGAAGTGTGGGGAGCTCAGGTAGAGGCTGAGTTCATCCTATGACCCGGTATCATTGGGTTAAGAAGAACTGGGTAATTAGCACCATTGGCCATAATAGGGACAGGAGAATATTGCTAAAAAAAAAAAAAAAAAAAAAAAAGGGGGCCTGAGACACAGGTCCCTCTCTATAAACTAAGTCCACAGGCATTTCAGGGGGTCGGCCAGAGTCTTCCCCCGTCTCCGGAAGCCTCGAACTTGCGCTGAGTTATTTCCCGGAGAACGCGGCTTTCCCTGTCGTACTAGGTGAGTCCTACGAAGAATGACCAGGTCAGTCAAAGCTCAGAGGTCAGGATGACCTTCTTCCAGGGAGTAGAGAGCTGACATAGAGAGGAAAGAGAATGGCCACCCACGGCCTCCCGGGTCACACTGAGGCAGTGAGAGGAGGCGCGCCCGGCAGTGGGGGACGCGGGCGGCACAAAGCCCCAGCGCTTGCCACGCACGTGCTCTGGGCACTGTGAAGGCTGGCTGCCCTCCACGGCGGCCTGATTCTCTGGGGCACAGCCTCTCTGTCCCTGGGCAAACAGTACAGGGACGTGCCCCCGAAGCTCAGACAGGCCCTAAGCTTTGGACAAGTAACACTGGAGGAGAAAAAAAGACACTGAATATTTAAAAATTACAGTGCCATGTGTCCAGTCCACGTCGGGTCTGCATAGGATGGCAAGCCAGGGTCCTGTCACGTGATGGTGGTCATGATGGGGTCTTCCAGAAGCCGGAGGGGGTTTGCCTAACCCAGCTTGCCTCAAAGCTCCCCCAGCCAAACCAGGGCTGCCGGAGGCCCGCTCCCCGGACAGAGGGGCGCCTGCCGGGCCATCGCTGTACCACGGGAGCAGCAGCCCCCAGCGCCAGTGACAGACGCCTCCCTCTCCTCTGCCGCGACGTCCCCGTCCCCACGTGAGCTGCACGCGAGCAGGGACACCACGGCCCCTGCGTCAGGGGATGCCTCCCCCTCAGTGACTCCTCCCTTACGGTCTTTTTCTATTCCTGGAGGTGACATTCTGGCTTCTATGCTTCGATTTATTTTCACTTATGGAAAGAATGTTGCAAAGAAACATCGGCTGTAACGTCTCTGAAAAGTTTTATAAAAATCAAACTTTACTCTTAATCAAGAAAAGATAACTCCTGGATAGCCCTCTTATATTATTTACCCCCTTATTTTCTAAAAATAAAGAGGTGGTAGCCCTGACTGGTGTGGCTCAGTTGGTTGGGCGTCACCCCGCAAGCTGAGGGGCCACCAGTTCGATTCCCAGTCAGGACACAAGCCTGGGCTGCAGGTCAGGTGCCTGGTTAGGGTCATGCAAGAGGCAACCAGTCTTGCACATCGATGTTTCTCTCCCTCTCTTTCTCCCTCCCTTCCCCTCTCTCTAAAAATAAATAAAATCTCTGAAAAAAATTTAAAAACAAGGAAGTTGTAGAAATGAACTACTGCGAATGGACCTTTTAGGATACGGTAGTGATCAAAATTATTTTTGGAAAGCTGAGCAGGCCAAGCATACCTAAAACAACCCAGCTTGTATTTAAAATACCCTAATCACTTTGCAACTTCGAAGGGGGGAACGATTACTTAAAAGGATTATTCAGAGCGCAGACATCGCCCAGCACCTGTGTCTCACATGGGGTGGCAACGATGACCCTGGAGGACGGGAAATGCGTTTCTGTCCATAGAAACGCGCAGAGATGGCCGCGTGCGCGAGGAAACACTGGCGGCTGCGCACGGGACAGGGCCCTCTCCTGACTCCAGGGAAAATACGGTGACTGTGAAATCGCCAGCTAAATCCAAACAAAATAAGGAAGTTCATGTTAAAGGGACATTTATACGCCTCAGTCCCAGATGTTTTAACCTAGGGAATTCCACAGCCGAGAGGAACTTCATTCCGCTTTCCAGGGCTGGCGCTGCGGAAGAGCCATTCTGGCTGAAGGTGGGCCGCACCTGCCAGGCGAAAGCAGACAGCAGGGTAGGCGGGGGCTGGACAGCTGTCAGGGGGCGATTTAATTCCAAAATTTCCAGAAGAGGGTCCCTACAAAGTTACCGAAAACACAAACACTGTTTTGTTAGTCTCGTGCCCGGGTGCCGCTGGGAAGTGGGACGGGTGTCTCAGCCTGCCGGACCTCGGCCCGACATGGGGTTCTTGGGTGGGCTCTGCCCCCACGGATGGCAGAGGGGGAGTGTCAAAAGAAATAGGAAGTTCGGCCCAGAAGCAGCTCACTAGCTGGTGGGGGGCTGGGGGTGAGCGACAAACCTGGGGCCCTGAGCTCCTCGGGGAAGGGCCTGGCCCTCCAGGCCCCGGGCCTCAGCGCAGACCCTCGTGTGCGGCACGGGGTCAGTTACGTGGTGGCTGGGCTGAAACGAAGGACAGTGTGAGGTGGGCTCCGGGTGGGGGGGGAGATGAGAGCTGGCAACGCCCTTTCCAGAGGGAGAGCCTCCTGGGGCACCTGGGGATGCTGGGGCTTTCTGCAAACTAACTCCATTCCGGAGAATCTGGATAATCAATCGCTCCCATTGTGGACGGGGCCTCCCGGGACCTGCCAGGCACTCACTGATCGCGACAACGGCGTCACCGACACCCAGCCAAGGAACACTGTCCTGCTTCGTGTGGTGATTCTGACAGTGCTGTTTCATTGCTTTTCTAAGTTTTGCTTCTCCGTCCAAATTAAAGAGTGTAACGCATCGGCCAGAGCTAGGACCGTCCCAGACGAGCCTCCCGCTGCGCCTGGTGATGTGAAATGCCCACCTTTGGTAGGTCCTTTCCTGTTCAGCACGGCCTGCTGCTCCTCGGTGATGTTCAGCCGCCGGACCACATCGGCCAGGGCGGACTTCAGCAGCTGGATGTCGTCCTCTTGCATCTGGACCCGCTGCTCCAGGGAAGCGATGCGGTCTGTCACCTCCATGCTACTTGCCGCGGAGGCGCTGTCATCTGAACCAAGGAAAGGAACAAGTGAGTCTTACGTGCTCCCCAGGGAAATCAGCCCAATAAACGCACAGCAGCACATCGCTATAACAAAATAATTAAAAACGGAAGATGACGGCCTTCCCGCAGAAGTCTCGGGGACTCTCTCCCTACACAGGCTGCAGCCCCTCCTCCTGCTACAGCCCCCCCTCCTCTGCGTTCGTGCTTCTCATTTTTTACACCGCGGTTTTAATTGTTATTGAATTTTTCTTTTCCACGGTATCAGAGGGCCTCGGAGGTAGAAGGAATATTAGACGCTATTTCCACTTCCCACACAGCGCTGGAAGCCATGGCACGGCCTTCCAGCTTTTGCTCCAACAACACGGACATGTCAGATAATCACAAGGCCACACCGCCCATCGGGAGAGACTTTTAAGGACCGGCCGCTCAGACCATGCAGTCTGAGTGGCCAGATCTGTTCAGCCAGCCTATCCTTACGGCCACAGTAACGTGGTCTGGTAGAAAATCTTTAATTCCCAACTTCTTCTCCAGGCGCAGGAGGCCCTCCGGGACCTTCCCTGCTCTCGGACTGCACTTTGCGTCGCCCTCCCTTCGCTCGCCACGCCGCGGCGGTGCCGACCAGCTCTCTGCGCTCTTCAGGGCTCACTCCAAGCGGGGGCCCCGCGGAGCGCCCTCCTCACAGCCTTTCCTACGCCGTCGCACTCGGCCATCGGCCTTCTCTCTTTCTTCACAGCATCCCCGTGACGACGACCCTCCTGGGTTCCTGCTCACGGCCTGCGTCTCCCGGCTAAAGGGGAGCCTCTCAGTCGCTCTGCTTCCCGGTATGAGAGGCCCGCGTGGGCACACCCCGCAGACAGCAATCAGCAGGCCTGGAGACCCCACAGAGCCGCCCAGAGGCTCCAGAGAGAGGGCGCAAGCGGCAGAGAGACTCTGACGGGGCGCTGACACTCGGCCGAGGACAGGCGGGCAAGTATACAAGTCAATGCCCCTTTCCGTGGCATTTTGCCAGAGCTGAGCGGTGTGCACCGTGGGGTAAGGGTACATGGGGAAAACTCTGTAGATGCTTTGTCCTGAGAAAACCAAAAAGTGAAGTCCAAAAACTGAACACTCAAGAAAGTGGGAAAATCCCAGGATGGAAAAAGCCAGAGAGGGGACCCCCAAACTCTGCCTCTTCCTATGCACAGTCACACGGTCTCAAGCACCCCCGCCAGCCGCAAAAGGTCAGAGCTGAGGTTGGAGCTGCAGTGGTATAAACAGGGCTTGCAGTTCAAGGGCGGCGAAGAAGGACTCCCACTCAGAGAGAGGAAACAGCGCTCATCAGAGAAAGCAGAAAATAGGGTCCCCGCAGCTTAACCTGTGGGATGTCCAGGATGCGATCCAGGATTACTAGGACCCAGTCAAAATCAAGAAATGGAACCCATTTTCAAGAGGGAAGAAAATAAATTGAGTACAAATCCAAAATGAACAAAACATTGGAACTAAAAGAAAGGACTTGAATAAAAACTTCACTGAAGAACAAACAGGCACATGAAAAGATGTCCAATGTCATTAGGCATTAGGGAAATGCAAGCCAAAGCCCCCAAAACCTCCTTAAGACCCCGGAAAAAAACCCTGCCTTCAAATACAAGTGATTAAACACTGAAATGCTTGGGCCCTGGCCCCGTGGACCCACTGCCCAGTAGGCCCAGTTGTCGCGTGCACCATGTCTGGTTCCTCAAGTGTCACTGCTATGAGGAAAGTGGCTCAACAGCTCCGGCTGGGGGCCGGGCTCAAAGGCATGAAGGTTTCCCAGGGAGTGGCAGATGTGAAACAGTTCTGTCTGCAGAAGCTCAACATGACCCCCTGCTGACTGGAGTATCTTCAAGGACCAATCCCTTCAGACCCCAGAAAGTTTGCTCCTTCCTGTAATGAAATGAATCTTTGAAGGCGTTCTAAACCACTTTTCACGAACCAGTGAATATTCAAAGAGAGCTAAATCTGAAGCCTGTACAAAACGCTTATCCCTGTAACACGTGCCACACCACACAAACTCCTGCTTTTGTTGGTCCTTAACATCTACCTCTCCGAATTTTCATGAATTTCTACTTCACAAGGATGATTATTTTATATACACTGGCAGCAGCATACAAATACTTAGTATAAAAGGGGAAAAAAAAACCCTGAAATGCCTGATCCGCTAAGTAAGAGAACCCCCTACGAGCTCGGTGGGCGTTTTCCCCGCGAGACGCCCCCCGCCCTGTGCTCTCCAGAACCGGCAGCACCGCCGCGCTGACCTGTGATGGCCCGTCTGCTCCGGCAGGCAGTCACTTCGGGGACAGGCTGCAGGCTTCTTGGCAGTGTGTGAGCCGTGCGACATTCTTAGCCTTCCTGTGCCCAGGAAAGGCCAGTGGGGTTCCAGCGACTTTACACCCCAGCTGGGAGGAGAGCTGATTAGCACGACGACACACAAAACCCAGAGCCTGGCTTAGCCGCCGCGCAGCGTTTCCAAGGCTTTGAAAACCTGTCTGAAAGAGAACTACTGGCTGGGGCTGGGGCACGGGCACCGGCGCGATTCCTTGGGAAGGCAAGGGGACCGCCGTCCACGCCACAGGCAGAGCCTCCCTTTGTCTCGGAATCAGGGAGCAACCTCAGAGATCGCCCACACAAACGGGCGCTGGGTGGGGGGCGGACAGGCCCTCATCTGGGGCAGAGCCCAGCCCGCGGGGGAGCGTGGCTCTTGCCGCGGATGTCTCACTGGCCGCCACCTGTTCCAGAAGTTACTCTGCCTCATCCGCCAGCAGCAGAGCTTCTCAGGGCTCAATTCCAGCCTCATGGCGTCTTGTCAAGGTCTAGACGGGGTCCTCGGAAAGGCTGACAATCGGCGTTTCTGCACCGGGTGGCTGGGTCCCTGTGCTTCAGAAAAGGCACTGGCGTGGCTTTCAGGTCAGGCAGGGTTCAAGTCCTGGGTCTCTCGTTTACCTGCCGTGTGACCCAGACAAATGACTCGACCACTCCAGGAATAAGCAGTACCACCTGCTTCCTGAAGTTCTCGTGAGGGTCAATGTTGGCGTGTGGGAAACACCTGATGCAATGATGGCAAACAGATGCCCGACACAAATGGGAGTGTAACATTATAGTTCATTGTTGTTAATATTGTTTGTAATAGCAAAAGACAGGGATTGACCTTCAGTGAAATCAACATTAACGATAGTTACTAGAGCCCTAGGTGGTGTGGCTCAGGGGATTGAGTGCCGGCCTGTGAACCAAAGGGTCGCCAGTTCGATTTCCAATCAGGGCACAGGCCTGGGTTGCAGGCCAGGTCCCCAGTAGGGGGCGTGCGAGAGGCAACCACACAATGATGTTTCTCCCCCCTCTCCCTTCCTCCCTTACCCTCCCTAAAAATAAATAAATAAATAAATAAATAATGTCTTTAAAAAAACAAACCAACAGTTACGAGAGCAAACTCTGAGGAGCTGAGCAGTGCGTGGGCCCTGGGAGGCCGAGGCCAGAGCAGAAGGGACCACTGCAGACCCTGGAGCTCCTGTGTTCAGCTGAGGAAGTGTGACAGTCACTGCCGAGCGAGGGGAGCTCCATACAAGCCCCTCACATGGTAGCACGTGACTTGCGGGCGAAGGACGGACCCAGCACGGCTATGTCCCAGACCTCACCTCACGAAGCCCGGCCAAATGCCAGCTGTTCTCTGAATTCAAAGTGCTGTCATGGGTCCAGGTGGGACCTACATCGCCCCTGGTTCCGCAGGCAAACAGACAAGCTTGAGGCTCTGTCCTTAACCCAGATCTTCGTGTGGCTATTTGTGACCATGACTTAAGTTTAATTACCGTTTCACGATGAAAAGTGGCACAAAAAGATCTTCCGGTAACTTGACCGTTTTATTCTATTAAAGAGGCGAGGGAAGTGCATTTTTTCTCTATTCATCAGACTGTCTCATTACGTAGAGATAACAAGAGGCCCTTGACGCTGTAAATCCGGCGAGGCGAAGACCTCGTTGCTGTCCGAGTTCACCGCTTCGGAAGCCCACAGGGCCTCCGGCTTTTACCCAGTCCACCTAGAATCTGGGCCTGTGCCGGGACGTCTTCTCACTTCTCCTCGTCATCCTTTAAAGCAACAGCAGCTGCTGCCCGCCACGTGTCACGCGAGGCACAGCGCCGCGTCATGCCCCGCTCCACACAACGCCCTCCCGTTTCACAGGCGGGGTCGGCGGGGTCGGCGCGGCTGGGTCTCTCGTCCCCCTCATCTGCCTCCCGCGGCTGGAAAGCGACCGGCCAGGGGCTCGCTGGAAGCCGCTGCGCTTCCCGCCGTATCGCGTTGTCCCTCCGATGGCAGGTACTGATTCCGGTGGGGCCTGCGTGGCCCTAAGTCAAATACACGAGGAATTTTTGCATCATTTTACCTTTTCCAAAATATTAGACAAATGTACTTAGGAAAAAATCCTACTACAGGGTTTTGGCGTTTTAGAGCCAATCATGCAAGCAGTAAGGCATGAGAACCTTCAGTCGATAACCTGCAGGTAGACATCTCCCATTCAAGCTGCCTTTCCATACTATACGTTGTTTGCAGGAGAGCTATGCGACGCGGTCACGCGTGGAACTACTGCTCTGAAATAGAGAAACAGGCAGAGCAGAGAGGCGCCACAGGTTCTGCGGCGTCGGCCCGGCTTTCCGCCCCCGCCCACGTGCGGCTCTGAACATGGCCCCCGGCTCGGGGGCTCCCGCTCTGCCTCTCGTCCAAGGCTCCTGGTCCTCCTTCGTCACGTGGGTCAGTTGGGGACCCCGAGTCTCACTTACCCCTGGGCCGGACCTGCCACTTGAGCTCCAGCTCTGAAATTCATCACTTCACAGTCAATGACAAGAACCGACCCCACGCACCGGCCAACCTGTCTCAACTGACGCTCAAGAGCTAACGTGTGAACACTTGACAGTGAAAGAACCCATGGCCGCCCTTGGCTGACACAGAAATGCTGCCGCTGCCTGCTGCTGAGAGGGTCTTCGGCAGGGCCTCTCGAATCT